GCAGTTGCAGGATAAAATACAGACACAAATTCAGTATTTAAAATAATTTACAAATTCCATAGTTTATTATAACTTTGTTCATTATTTCATGTACATGTGCCAGACAGGATTGGTTTAATTTTATATAAACGCTAAAAAGAAATCAACAAGTTTACTTAAACACTCCTTTAGGCACATGAATAATTTTATTGTTAAAAAAGTACTACTGTAACATTAATCTGAATTGGGCCGGCTTTATCCATCCTTTTTCTCTATTAGGTCTTCAGGAGAATCTAAAATGGTTTACATCTGACACTGATGATTGCAATCTGAGGAACAAAATACTGGACCATTTTCTGAACACAATCCCTGCGCTGACTGCTTACTCTATCTGCAGAAAAATATAATGATAAATATATTAAACTGTTGTGTATATTTAGAAAAATAGGAGATAAAAATTCAATACTACGTATACAGGCTACAGCTATCTGGCTGTAGCTAGGCCTAATTAAACGAACAGTGGGCTAGCACCGCACCGCCGACCCCAACAGGGATGCTCACTGAAATACAGGCCTCTACTAGCGAGGCCTAGGCCTCTGTTGACTGAAGTAGAGTTACGAATGGCGTGGTATTTACCATTTATGTAGACTTGAAAGTTACTTAATTACATAACAACTAACTTAAAAGTAATATTACACGTGGATATCATCTCGTACATTTTTTCTACAAACAATTAAGTGATATGACGTACGTATCGGCGGTGTACCGACGCCTAGACCTACGCTCCGGAAGATATTAAAATGATAATTTTTGTAGCTTATGATTCGAAAATGAAGATGCACTTATGATATATGGTAAATAGATTATTTAGTATTAGTGTCTTCCCAAAATAAAACTGGATTATACAATGTAAGTTACGGAAATAGCGATATCAAATACTGTACTACAAAACTAAGTGCACTGCGAAACAAAAAAAAAAAAAAAAAATGGCCGATCAAGGTTTGTTTGGCCCAGCGAAACCGGTAACCAGGAAATGTGAAGTCACACTTTTCTCCATTACTTTGACCCCTGGGAGATGCTTGTATCTGATTGACTTTCACTCAAAAGAGGTCACAGCTCGCTGGTGACCCGCTTGCAAGCGGCTGTTCACATGGATCAAGAGCGAGCTGCATCGAGAGCCGCTCGCGAGCGGCTTGTCGACAAAAACCGCTCTTGAGCGGTTGTTCACATGAAGGCCCGGCTCGCGAGCCGATCGTTCGCTCGCGAGCGACCCAAGACATGTGAACGCGGTATAAAGGGTTTGCTGGTAAATGGGATAGTAACAGCATGGAAATAGAAAATTAGAAACACAATTAATTACAGTTTGCTGTAAATTCAATTCAATGATTGTTAAGTGCATTCCTACCGATGAAACATGCAAGCAAGGTTTTTCGAACTGGTTTAATATAGTCATAAGAACACAACACAAACTTGTTAATGAACTTATTTCTTTATTTACCTTTTGCATTTACAAATCTTGCATAATATTTAAAATATTGAAAAAAAAAAAGTAAGAATCAACAAATATTTGGAATTTATTTCAGTTAGAACTTAAGAAAATGGGCTGATGTTAAAGAAAATCTCATTGAAATATTAACTAAGTGAAAACATACATTAATGTATATACCAAATACGTAAAACTATTGAAAAAGAAAAAGTAGAAATCGAACATCAAAGGCCTTTCAAAAACATTATTCAGGTTAGAAAAGTAACAAACGAATGATAAGAAAATTTCGGGGAAAAAAAGTTGAAAACTATCTATCATCTAGTAGTTTATACTACTTCTATTTTAAACAAGAAATATTTCCTATAAAAAAAACGCCGCAACTTCGGTAGCTTAATTTGTGTATACAACTACTTCCAAATTTATCCTATGTGTAAATTTTGTTATCGTATTTAAGTTAGCTGTTTCAATAAATAAATCTGTAACTGTATTTTCCTATAGATCAATAAATATTGTAGAGTTTACATTATTGAAGGTATGGTATAATTTTTTTTTTCTTTTATTTGTAGGGTGTTGTGAAGTACCTGAGTAGAGAACTGGGAATAAATTTAAACAATTTCTTCATTTTAAGTAGCAGGCGCGTACAAATAGAGTTGTGGCATAGACTGAAATGTATC